GACAAGCCAGACGTGCCTGAACTTCCAAAGCACATGATGAACGGCAACGGGCTGCCCTTCCGAGCCGACTCTAAGGCGAGATTCTCGGATCCTCCCGCTCCGCCGCCACAGCAGCCACTGCCCGAGAAGCCCGATGTCCCCTCTCTGAAACGGGCCGCCACTGAACGACCCAAGTCGCACCCGACCAACTCGTCGCCCGTGCGTCCCGACAACATGAGCCAAATCATCCAACTGACCGAGGCGCTCAACAACGCGAAGAAGGAAATCGACACGCAGACTACCAGGATGAAGGACTTGGAAGAAATGTTGCAGAGGGAGCGTGAAGCGCGCGAACTGGCTGAAGACCTCGCGAGGAGACTAGAGGACACGGCCATCACCAAAGAAGCGAACGGCGTGTCTAACGAGGGTGGATCAGATCTGTTGGAGGAAGCGTTCGAGCCACCGCGCGAAGGTGCCGAGCCTGTCGACGTCGATATGCCCGACGCCGACGCCGTTGCCGATGCTGATGCTGACGACCAATCCGACGTCAATCAACCGGATGCAGCGCCGGTCGATAAGGTGGAAGAGGTCACCGTCCAGCTCCAGACCAAGATTGATTCTATGATGTCGGATATGAACGACTTGAAGCAGCAGATGGAGGCGTGGAAGCAGCGTTGCGAAAAGGCCGAAGCCGAGAGAGATACGGATCGCCAAACCCTAGCCGAAATGGTTGTCAAGCTCCGTAAGGAAGAGGAGGCGCGACAAGCTGCCGAACTCGCCAAGAGCCGGTCGCCCTCGAAGGGACGTGGTCGCAGCAGCAGCCGAGCATCACGAGAACAGTCCGAGGGACCTCTCGAGCAGGCAAACGGCGTGAGCAAATCCCATGTCGAGGACCCCACCGACAGGCCCACACTCTCGAGGGCGAACACAATCACGCCGCTCACAGCGTCGACTGGAGCCCTGATGCACAAACGAGCATTGGTCGACGGAGTGCCATACACCTCGATGCTTGGCGTAGTGCTAATAGGCGTGGGCCTCATGGCATATATCAACGGCTGGCAGCCGCCCCCACGGCCCGCCCACTAATAGCCTGAGCTGCTGCGGGCAGGCTGCCCTCCCTCCCTACTGAACCGTGCACATCGATACATCATAGCTTCTGGCGTTTGAAGTCACTTCTTTTTTGCATCAACCGAATGAGACGAACGAACAGCGAGCGACGCAATCGCGCCCCATACAGGGAACAGTCTTTTTCTTCCCTTTGTATCTATTACCTTCACACTGTACGACTGGACAACGACAACAACCTAGGGATGCGTTTCTTCCTTCTTTTGATCTTTCTTCGTTTCTTCTTCTTCTACTTCTTCTTTGCGCGTTTCCCTTGAAACAGTAGGGCCAGGCAACGGCGGCGTTCCGACTTGATGAAGGAGGAAATCTTGTGACAACAGAACTGGGACGGGAAAGTGTGACGTGACGGCTGGCCGCGAGGTTTAGAAAGCAGGATTTCTAACCCGCTCGCCCGACCTCGACAGCGGACGTGGTAGCGCAATGGGTAGGCTGCGTCAGGCAGGTGTCGAATGGCTGCTAGGCTGTCAGCCTGGTGGCCAGCGGACGTAGATCAGCAAGTAACCTCATGATGAAAGGAGAGAAGATTGAAATGACCATTTTGCAGCTGTTCTCAGAGTGATGCCATCTGAACGTATAACAAGAGAGAGAGGTTGGATTTCCGAGAAAGATGTGTGCCTCCCACGCTTTAAGACCAGATACAAGATGCCCTCAAACGCCAAATGAACCATCTCGCAGACGCCAATCGAAAACAGAGCCAGAAAATAAAACCGCTGCCGGACGGACCCATCGAGAAGATACAACCCATAACGAAATATCACCAGGTCCCCATCCCCAGCACGCCACCCACCCGCCTCCCGGCCTCGTACCCCTCCAGCTCATCCGCGGTGCAGCATCCCCGCGACACGCCTGTCCGCGTCGCCCCCGTACAGCGCCTTTCTCGCCGAGCCGCGACAGCGAGACGCTGCAGACGAGTATGAGCGTCATGCGCGGCGCTAGGAGCACGGCCAGCAGGCCCGCGAGCAGGAGCGCCTGGAACTCAACGGTCGCGGGGCGGGGCATGCGGCCGATGAAGCCCGGGCCGAGGACGGTGACTGTCACTCTTCGCGACACGGCTGCCGCCGCCGCCACCGCCGCCGCCGGGGCTGCGAGCGCGGCGTCTTCGTGCGGCGTGCTGTTGCTGCTGGAACCCATTGGCTCGAGGGGGTACAGGTCTGGGCTGGGCGGTCGCGGGGGTGCGACGATGGGGTCGACGGCGTCGAGCCAAGATGTGATGCGGGCTTTGGTGTCCGAGTCAGAAGGCTGCGGCAGGTGGGTGACGGAGGAGATGGCAGGCGTTTCCTCATCGACAAAGGGGTCGTCGATGAAGGGGTCTTCGAGGGGCGCAGGTCGTGAGGCGTAGGCGAAGGAGTATGGCGTTATAACTGTTGTGACGGTATCTTTGTCGAAATCTGCAGCCCACATTAGTACACGGCTCGATCTGGGTTGTCGTCTGGGAGAAACGCAACGACGTACCAGAATAGCCGACCTCGGCCATTAGGTCGTAAAGCGGGGAGGCTTGAGCTTCATCGAAGCCTTGGAACGAGTGTGGAGACTCATTCATCGTGTCGCCAGTATCGACGGGCCGAACAATCTGTCTTATTCTCTCGGCTCAAACGACTTTCGATCTGAAGGGTGTGATCGCGCGACCTAGAGGCCACTCCTTAGTGCAATAACTGTTTGGACAGAGATCGGACCAAGAGTAACCTGTCAGGGCGCTGGGCCTTGGTTATATTTGGCCTGGTGTTTTGGCGAGTATGGCGTGGAATGCGTCCAGCTCCCTGGCATTGCGTTGTTCATAGAATCGTGGGGTTTTGGAGATGGACGACCCCTTTCCGTGGCGTCGTCGCAACTTACATCTATCTGCAGTGCCGGTGCGAGAATAGTGCTCGAGATCTGAAATCAGGAGGTTCGACCTGCTCCGTCGCCATGTCAGATGCATCTTGGTCAGGCTGGTTCGACGGAACAGGCTGGAGAAGAGATCTTCGGGGACATAGACAACGCTGCAAACATGTGAGACATTCCCAGCAGCTTATCTTCTTGGGGCGATGGGATAGTCAGCTCGGTCCATGGGGGTTTCCATGCCAGTCAAATCTATTATCATCCATGAAGGCTCGATTTTCAGCACAATGCTCCCTTGCATGAGCTCCGTCTTGGCTTGCATCAACAGGCTTTCGCACCACGACACCCACGAGAGGTTAAATCTGGCTGCCACAACTTCTCCGCCTGTAAGCTCCCACAGGCAGCAGCTCACTCACGGTGCCTGGTATTGTACACCTGTATGGATGACGAGCCGCGAAGCTGCTGGCGGCGCATGGCGCGACTCGTCTGATGAACGACCCATGTTCCCTGTAGCGGATCTGCGGCAATGTGCATTAGCTCCGTCTCGGTTGGCTCGCCTCGAGGTCCCAACATCAGCACACTCTGATCCGACTTCATCTGAGGCACGCCTGTCTATCTCCTTGGTGAGAAGGGAAAGTGAATCGGTGTCCCGAAACGTGTTCATGGCGTATGACCCTTTGATCTGGACTAGATTTTTTGATGCAGAACAGCATTTGAATTCAAGGACATTCGTTACTTCATGTAGCTGGCTTGGTGACCCAAGGAAGGTCGGCTTCCTGATCGTCAGCATCATCAAACTCGCGGCTGACATGCCATGTTATAGAGCCCAAACTATCAGATATCATGTTCATATGTGTCGATTGTTGGAATTACTGACCCGGCACTCTTCTTGCTCGTAAGCCCTCGAGGCGCACCTCAAGGTCTCACAGGATACCTTCGAGGTTGAAGCGAAGCACCAAGTTTGACCATCAGCAGCCCAGGAACCGACGTCAGGAAGACATCGCAGCGTAGCTCACATCACTTGATTTCTCAGAGCACTGAACCTTCTTGCATCAATGTCAGTAACGTAGGTAAGGAAGGTAGTTGCTGATTCCACACGAACTATGAAACTGCATTCAAGAGAAAGGCCGATACAGCGATAGCAACGTCGATATCATCGGCCTTGAGACACCCGAAGAACCATATACGAGCATCTCATCTGTCATGACAATCATATCCCACTTATGAGGCTTTGTGCGCGTCGTCGCTGCCATTTGGTACTGCATAGCAACCAGCTCATCACGCCGCGACGACAGCAGCCCACGTGCAGAACCGACAACACCAGTGAATGCGTTGTTGCCTGGAACCACTCACGCTCTGCTATATGTTTTTCTTTCTTGCTGCTTCCTGCTTCTCTCTTTTTTCTTCTCTCTTCATCCGGTTTTCAGATCACGCTCGCACTACGATTTCGCATTACGCCACATCGCTTCGCACGCTTACTCTTATTACCCATTTCTTCATGTTATCAGGTCACACTGTTATCATGTCGTGTAAGTTTCGTTTTCTATTATACATCAGCTGCTTTGCTGCAGACTCTCTGGTGGGGTTGTGGTGATCGTGATGGTGTCGTCCGTCTCCAAAGGCCAAATGGATAGGCATACTATCATCACATATTCCCTCCCATCATACCTTCTAGGATCAAAGCTCACCAAGTTGCACTCGATCCATCAGGGACTTTCCCTCTCTTCTCGTTCAAATCCGCTCTTGCTTCCACTCAAAAACTGACCACTCCGTAGATTCCGCTCTGAAGAAGACGAAACGGCCGACGGTCACTGCTTTGTCTCAGTCTCTTGCTCGTCGTCAGCAAGAGGCTTATGACAAGCATGTCCGGCGCGCCGCCCGTTGCCCGAAGAACGCCCCTCCTCCCGCTCCCGCCCTTGGCCGTCCGGCTGCAAAGCACCGAAAGACTCCAGCTCCCGCCAGTTCTTTTCGCCCCAGGCCCAAGGCTCCTCCCCCTATTGGCAACACCCTCGCAGTTCCCAAGACACGCAAGGTCAAGACGACTCCCGCGCCCCCCAGCCGTCCTGTCCCCGAGGTCAAGCCAACAGCTTACTCACGGCCCAAGTTGACCCAGAAGACGACCAGACAGAAGCCAACTTTTGTCCCTCCCAGTCGTCCAGCCCTCAAAGCCGCCTTCCCTACCGTTGGGGCTCTGAAGATTCCCAAGAAACGCCAGGCTCTTGTTCCCGCCAGCCGGCCCACTGACCAGACGAAACCCGGCACGGAGACGATTTTGACTTCTGCCAAGGCAAAGGGATAGGATCCTCTGCCACAGAAGAAGGTTGACTATGCCTCCCCTAACCCCCCTACTAGCTTTGACGATGATTCCGACTCCGACACCAGCTGGATGGTATGTTGCTTTCTACTTCTTGATGTTGACTCATCGCTCATGTGTGTCAGCGCTATAACACGGACGGAGACCTGATCACGGACGAGGTCGTGGCGAAGATGTGGCCTGTCCGCGTCCCACCCTCGGCCCATTCGCAGCTCGACTTCCTGTCCAAGTTGCTGAAA